TGCCTGATATTGTGCATAATGATGCAGATGATGAGGATAGTGGGGAAGGCTGTGTGACACAAAATTCACAACCAGCCCCAAATGTTCATGAAGCTCCAGAAACAGCAGCTGAAGGTGATGCTGATGAAACAGATGCACTACATAGAGGTGATGCAGCCCAACAAGAAGATCTACAGAACAATGATCCTGATAATGAGGATTTGCTTGATATTGTGCCTAGTGATGTAGATGATGAGGAGGTGCTTGAATCTATTCGTAATAAAAAGAAACATAAAGCCAATGCAAGTGCAAGAAAAAATGCAAATGGTGCTGGACCAAGTGGCACAGTCCATGACTCCCCTACCATAGTTAATGAAGAGGGTGAAAGGGTTCCAATAGGAACTGATGACCATGGAGATTTGGGTTCTGATTCTAGCTTTGAAAATAGTGAAGATGAATTTGAGGTTTCTAGTGATAATTCAGGTGAGTATAATGTTGCAGATGAACATGAATTTGAAGAAGAAGAAGAAGATGTAAGAACTACTAGAAGTAGTGAGTTATGGTTTAATCCCTCATGGACTACTGTTTGGTTTGAGGTAGGGATGAGGTTTGAGCATGTAGCACAGTTTAAGGAGGCTATAGCTAAATACCAAATTCAAAAAGGCTGTAAGTTGAAACCTGTTAAAAGTGACCCCACCAGGCAGAGAATTCACTATGTTGGTCAACAGTGCAATTGGAGTATCTTTGCCAGTTTTGATAAAAATGACAAGACTTTTAAGGTGAAGACATATTGCAGGGAACACACTTGCTTTCGGAGTTTGAAGTCCAATATGGTTGGGTTGAGGGTACTTGCAGAACACCATAGGAACAGAATTGTTGCAAATCCGCATATCAGAATCAGTGAGATAGTGACATTGTCTCATTTAGAATTAGGAGTTCATGTTTCAAGGGATAAGTGTAAACTAGCAAAGGAAAGGATTATGAAGGAGGTGAAGGAAACTCAGACGAACGAATTTGCTCAGTTAAGAGGGTATGCAGAAGAGCTGTTGAGATTGTCCCCTCAGTCAAATGTTCAAATTGAGAGTGAGCCACCCACAACTCTAGAGGGAAAACCTATGTTTAAAGGAATCTATGTGTGTCTAGAAGGATGTAGGAAGGGTTTTCTACTGGGCTGTAGACCAGTAATTGGAGTTGATGCCTGTTTCCTCAAGGGGATGTTCAAAGGAACTCTTTTGGCAACTATTGCAAGGGATGGGAACAATCAAATGTTCCCAATAGCTTGGGCTGTTGTTGACTCAGAGTCTATCAGCTCATGGAAGTTTTTTTTTTAGATGCCTAGCTGATGATCTATCAAATCACACTGGGCGAGATTTAACGTTCATTTCGGACCAACATCCTGTAAGTGTGCACAATCTATTATGAATTAATTTATATTATCAATATCTTTATGTTACTATAATCATCAATACTATTTATTGTATAATTCAATTGACTTTATTATCAATCATTAACCTTATTTGTTATCATGATTGTACAATTTGGTAGGGGTTGATTAATGCAAGACAAATAGTTTTCCCCGAGGCTAGGCATAGATTGTGTGCCAGGCATTTATATGCCAATTGGCAAAAAATTTTTAGAGGGAAACTATTGAAGAAAAGATTCTGGATTGCTGCAAGGTCAACATAAGAAGGTCAATTCAACAAAAACATGAAGGAGATCAGAAATTTATCCGTGGAAGGTCATGATGCCTTAAAATCAATCCCCCCAGAGCTGTGGTGCAAGGCATTCTTTGACACATCATGTAAATGTGATGTGGTGGATAACAACATGAATGAGACCTTCAACAATTGGATAATGGATGCCAGGTATATGCCAATCATCCAACTGTTAGAATATAT